AACATTTCTAAAGAATGCTTTCAGCACCTTGTTGAATCAATGCCACGTAGAATTAAGGCAGTTCTGAAGGCGAAAGGGGGTCAAACACTGTATTAGTATGGTGTTCCTAATAATCCTTTAGGTGAGTGTATATTGCCCATTGATGTGACAGGTGAAAACTTCGATCGCGTTGCGGAACCTGAAAATATTAACCTATTTCAAAGATATTTTGCACGTTTAATAACGAGGTCCAGTGACAACTTTTCCGCACTATTGGAAATTGCTATTGGACATTTTGATTTTTTCACCCCACCCTAATGCTCAGTGACCCAAATGGTAACTGATATGTTCTCACAGTGATGAGAGGGCAGCACAGAACCTGCCTCACAGGGCATAATTACTGAGTTTTGACAACTGCACTGGGTAAAACCTTGAAAAATGTATCATTCTAGCTAGATACTCATGCTTTGTGAGAAACACTATGCCTCAAACCAGAATCTTTTAAATAGAAATGTAGTTATTAAGTGTAAGGCAACATGTAGAAGACTGGCATTATTTTACCAATATTACTTATATATTAAGTTTATTTACTTTTTACTTATCCGAGAAAGTTGACCAATTTTAAACAACATATTCCAACACCTTACATCAACTCTCACCAAAAATAAGTAAATGCTTAATATATAAATAAACAATAAACCACATGGGAGAAAAGGAAGTTGCTGCTCTGTATTAGAAGGCCTGTGTAAACATCACTCACTGTGGTATTTAGTGTTGAAATGTTTCAGTCCATGTATGACCATGACAATAAGATAATATAACCTGCTGATTTGCTGATAATTATGCAAGACCATCCAAATTTCATGTGACTCTCCTGTTTGAAATAGACACAAAGTATGTTAGACCATATTTGGTCACGCTAAATACAGTTGTTCCACCATGAGGACAAATTTGCCATTTTCATATGCTGGACTGCTCCATTTCTCTGGTTGATGTATACTTTTTCATAATGATGAATGAAAATAGTACATGATATGAAGCTCAGAAAGGAGACCTGAATTATTAAAGGGTTCTCTCTTAATCGTTGCTAAACCACAATACCTCTGTCAACCACTTACTGTGAAATTCATGGTTCATAACATTTTTCACCATTAGAAAACTGCAACGAACAGTGTTATTTAGGCTGTGAGCGTGTGATCACATACAGTCATTATATCCAGCAGAACAGCTTGTGCTTATTGAATGTGGGTATGTATGTAAGCACGTAAGATCATGTAAAGCTCAATGGCTTCTTTTGGAGAGGTGGGTGGATGAAGACTGTTGTCTGCCATGGCAAGGCAACAAGTGTCAAACACAGTAGTATCGCAGGGATATGGTCCTTCCTGAAACCTGTACCTTTTGTTGGGACACCTCTTTGAGGTACTCCCTAGCACCAAATAGTTGGGGTTGGGTGTACATCATCACTGGACGTCTACCAGGAGATACAGCATTTCTGCATGGACGAATTCTGTGTGCGTTCCAGAGGTGAACAACTTCCTGCAGTTCTCTCTAAATAAGAAAAATAGTGGGAAAGTAAGAATGTTAACATGGTTTCAGGTAAAATTAATACTTATGGTTCTTTTATGGTCATATGATACTATAGAGCAGAGGTTCGTTTCACAAACATTTTTACATATCACAAGGATGCATTCATCCTATTTGAAAACACTAAATCCCAGGCTCTCAATATGTGAAGATGTTTGTTATATGAATACACAACCACACCGGTCTCAGTTGTTGAATGTCGTACCTAAGTACTGTACATTTACTCAATTCTTATACTTCAGTTTTCCCATTTATTTTATTATATAAAAAAATACTGTACCTTTTACTTCATTACATTTATCTGACAGCTTTTGTTACTAGTTACTTTTTAAATCACAATTTCTCATATCCTCATTGTCCAATGGATGTTTAAATTTGTTGTTTCTGAATTTTTTCTGATTCTGAATTTTCTGACTAAGTGTTATTATCCATCTTGCAGAGTGTACATTGACTTATTTTTTTTTAACTCTATTTATTGTTATTTTTGCTGATTTTGCTCTATGTATAGTTAATATGACATGAACATTAAAGGGACATGAGTAAAAACTGCAAAGATCCAACAATTAACCTGCCAGTGTCATATAGCCTATGTGTTCACTCATTTTGGCAGGACAGAGATATTAATAGCCTTGGGCACAAAATAAGGACATTTCTACTTTGCAAAATCATTCCTATTTTTGTGACTATTAACTATCTGATGTGATCTAAGCATTTTCTAGTGTGACCTCGTTGGGAGCCTCGTTTACCTCCAAGTAGCCATAAGAGCTGCATCCATATAGCATAGAAAAATTGGACAAAAACAGAGAAACATATCATAACTTTGAATCACACATTTAAAGCAAAAAACTTACTTCTATTATTTGAAGACACATGAATTGTATCAGACTTTTTGTCACGACTGGCGGACGGGCGAGCAGGAAAGCAGGCGAGCTGAGCCGAGAAGTCGGACAAACAGGGTTTAATAGGATGGCTGACAGGCACGAACATCGAGACAATACAATGACGGATCTGGGGAAGACAGACTGAGACTCGGACTAAATACAAAAGACTACTGGTAACGAGCCACAGGTGAGAACAATCGGGGATTCACACGAGGTAATGAGGGGGGCGTGGCACACATCAGGATCGTACGGAGCGGATCGTGACACTTTTGTCTAGGAAGCCACCGGAGAAGTGGTCAGAATCTTTTAAATCCTGAAATGCGCTGATCCAGAACTGTGCATGCTACTTCCTTAAAAATCCCCACCAATGCTCTATCCGTTGCTTGTGTTTGCTTGAACCATACAAATAGCATCTACTAGAAAATTCATCCATATGATCATGTCTCAGGAACTTCTGAATCTGCTCCATGTAACAGTTCTCTGTCCCTAGGTCCGATCGAATTCTGGTAGCAGTACCATTCCTTGACAGCACCTCATCAATAAAGTATCCAGCAATGACTTTAGGATCACTACTTGTAGAGTACAGTATGCATGTAGCCATACAGTATAACCATTCGTGAATACCTGTCTATTGCACCATTGATGCATATCCCATATGGTTTGAGCTTATCATATGAATCTACGTGCCATAAAAAGTTTGGGCCTGGAATTTGGTACAGATGCCGCCGAAGGCACCTAAGCTGCACTCCGTGGGGATCCAGTATTTTCAACAATTGTCTGATTGTCTCTTGAGTCACCACACGACCAGCCTGAATGCATTTCAGATGCATCATCTTGTATCCGTGAAGCATGCCGTACTGGTCCAACTGATCCTGGAGAAACACTGCAATGTCCTGCAGATCAGAATGGGCTTTCCGTCTGAACAACCGCGAAACCTTGAGGTGCCCGCACAAAGTCGACAAACTAATAACAATGCCATCTATGTTACTTAAAGCTGTGAGTATTTTGCAGTGTTTCAAACCCAGACCAAAATAAAACTGGATTAATCTAAGGTGTGACATTGTTGCAGTGAAATCGAGCCCTAAAGTAGGCAAAATGAGAGTTGAAGTTGAGGTTAATTCAGACAAACAGACCATGTATATTTTTTACATGAAAACTGTATCTCGTTAATTCAGAAAAACAGAGTGTATTTTTATTTTACATGAAAACTTTATCTCAGAAATTCCAAGATAATTATGTCATTAATTCAGAAAAACAGAGCAGAATTATTTTTTCCCAAGTGAACGCATTATTCTTCCGTAGATAATCCAGTTGAACCTCTTAAGGTCCCGTTTGCTCATATTTCCCAAGTCAGTTTTTCACTCGTAGAAGAAAACTCCTCGAAAGTCAGTAGCTGTGATTGTTTTGTTCATTTCTGCGACATGGCTTTGCTCCTCCAAGGCACATGGCTGCAGTGCACTGGAAAGACAGAGAACATGTCATGGCCACCATCAGTATC